AATAGCTGCCTGATGTCTGAAGCCTGGTAAAAAAAGAGCTTCAGGCTGATTGGAGAAGTTTAGGTGAAGTTTCGGTGATGGATGGAGCTGCAGCCTTTCCTCTCTGACTGACAGCTTCACTTTGGGTTTTGGGACACGAACCGGGACAGGCCTCCCGCGTGGCTTTGTCTCATCCCTCATTAAGCCTTTATCCATGTCTCTGTCCCTTCCACCTCTGCGCGTCTTCATTAGGAGCGCGCATCCATCCATCATACAGCTCCCATCCAGAACCACTGAGGTAAACACTCTGCGTCTAAAATCACAGAGGATTTATCTGCTATTTGTCAAAATTATTGATGATTATTAATGTTCAAAGCGGTTTAAAGCTCATCCCTCTTCAGTAATTATTTTAATGTTGAACATAATGTGAATATAGATTGCCTCTTCACATTAGTGAACGTTTCCTTCATCCACACGCTGTTCTCCCCTAATGACCAGCGGGGCTGTAATCCCTAAAGTCAGGGTTCCTCTCTCAGGGTCCCTCAGGGGCCTCCAGGGGACCATTGTATCACCCCCCCTGTGTTGACTCAGACGCAATGAATGCCAAAGCTCTCCGTTACTGTTTCCGTCCCATCGGCCCCATGAATGTAAAAGTCCAAAGTTAAAACCTCTGCAGAGGAGAGGTCGCCCCCCTCTACCCACCCCCTGACTGCGCTGCGTGGAGCTTTCTGGGCGGATTAGTGGCCTGGAAGGGACCGGCTCCTCCTTTTGAAGGGATTAGGTTAAATGCTTGAAAGCGGGAGAGCACAGAGTTGCTCCTGGATGCTCTTTTTGATGCGGAGACGAGTTAAAACTGTGAAACTGTTTAAGTTTCTCTGCAAACTCACCTCTGAACCTTCCAGACGGAGACGCGCAACAGACGGTGGATCCTGAGTGCAACAATAATCTTATAGTCATTTTTCTCTTTTCCTCCCATCTGAATCTACTTTTTTTGTTGTTATTTATCAAAATGAAAAGAACTTGCAACACATTCTGAATTATAGATTTAATTTTTTTTGCTTTAAAGTGATAATCATCTCCATAACTGTAATTTAAGTCTAAATTTATGGCAGGTATCCTGCAATTTAATTCTGTAGTCAGAGCTGAATAAAAGGTTTTATAAGCAACATTTTATTTTGGACCCAACACACTGCAAAAAAATCAAAATCTATAATTTATTTTTTTCTTAAAATACGTGCTTTTGTTCTTGGATTGAGGAGGTAAATGAGACACTTTGCCCATGAAACAAGGTAATTTACATTTAAAATAAGAAAACACAATTGAATTGTCTTATTTCAAGTGTATGTTATCTAATTGTCTTATTTTAAGAGTAAAATACTCAATCCATTGGCAAACTAACTCATTTACCTACTCAAATTAAGGGTAAATACACTTAATTTAAGAAATTTTTACTTATTTCTAGATTGTTTTTTCAGTACAATCATGATAACCCTAGCTCTCCTTTGTTTTTGGTTGCTTTTTTGTTTTTTTGTATTTTGTTTTCTTTTTTGCTTGGCAATTTTTGGACTTTTTAAGCCTTTTATGTGTTGACTTATATACAGACAAAAAGCTTTTCCAGCTCAGACATTAACATTCTTGATAAACTTGGAACGACGGCTTTTCACATAACTACCAAAAAATCTTTTGTATGTATATATTTATGCATATATATTAAATATTCTATAAGCATGGGAAATATTCTTGACGAAGTCAGGAAAGTTTTTTTTAAATGTGTAAGAATTTATCTAAATTTCTTAGAGAATGTAGGTATTAAGTATAAAATATGATATGTTTGAAAAAGACACCCTAGTCCCACTAAGTTCCCTCCTGTGATCTTTGTTGTTTGACATTTAGCAGCTTCCACCAGCTGTAAGGTCCAATTTATGCAAATGATGCTCTTCTGTAGGCCACATGTTCCTCAAAATGTGCACAATAACAAACAGCTGTCATGATTAAAACATTTAAAATCGGTTAACTTTCCACGTTAATCTGACTAAGACTGTTTTATATAAATTTTATAAAACAAATTTGCATAGACTTTTTTTTCTGTGGAACAACTGGATTTATAACAACTATATATTTGATCATCACCTTAGCTTAAAGTATAAAAACAATAAAAGTAATTGCCAAAAAGCAAACCATCATGCTCCCCCTTAACGATATAGGGACAATAGGACAACGCTGTTAAAAGCAGGTTGTTGTGTTGAAAATCTTATATGATATTTTGAAACATCCAGAATTTATTAACCAATGTGGGTTGCAAAAAGATTGCATAGACCCATTTAAACATAGATTATAATAGAGGATATTATACCTGTCAGGGGAACCTTTACGCTGACTTTATTTCTTAAGACATAGTTATAGTAAACCAAACCTGAATTATAATACTTGCAAGCACACAGAAGACAGTATAATGACTGAATAATGGCTAGTTGAAGGGTTTGTGAAATGTATCTGCAGCACAGTCAGAACAAAGAGGTGGCTGTTTAAATGTGTAATTATTATTATAGCAAACACTGGAAAAAATTTAATTCTAGATAAGCTACTTTTTCCTAAAATAAGTGCATTTGTTCTTGGATTGGCGAGGTAAAAGAGACATTTTGCCAATGGCACAAGACAATTTACACTTAAAATAAGAAAACACAATTGCATTGTCTTATTTCGAGTGCATATCATCTAATTCTCTAATCAAATTACTCAAATTAAGGGGAAATATACTTAATTTAAGACATTCGTTTTTCCAATGTAGCTATTCTATGTCTTTTGTTTGAGTACTGCAGGTAATATAACAGTTTTTACAAAGCAAAGGTTTTATTTTCTGCTTTAGAAAGATTTGCATAAACCCTTTGAAGCAAATTTAAATGTAGCCTATTCATAACAGCAAATTTCAGTTTTTGACCTCTGTATTCTGTGTAAGAAGTCAAAGAATCCTGTAGTCCCCACTGGAACTATCAGCTGCTCAGCTTCATTCCTTAACTAATCAATATTTTAAAGTTATTTAAAAAAACTATAAAACCATTTTTTTTAAGAACAAGAATGAGTTTTATTTGTTTTGTTTTTTCTCCTTAAAGCAGTTTGAAACGAGCTTCTCCGCTTCATCAATCCCCCTGACTCTCCACCAACCACACAACAACTGCTGTAAACAGATCTTATTATTACTAAAGTGAACATGGAGCGGTGGATGCGCGCATGCGCGCGCGTGTGGAAAGTTAATGCCATTAAGGAGCATCATCATGCAGCCTCTGGTCAACCAGAGATAAGAGCACGCACTTTTGAGCTTTTATTATGACATTTTACGCACGGGCACGCGGGCCAAACTCAATTAATTCCTCCAGTAAGAACACAACGTAATTTTGGTTTGTGGATCATATTATTCGGTGAAATTTACCCTCTAATAAAAAGACTGTTAATCTCACCAAGGGCGCACATAGAGCAGGGAGCCACAGAGTTAAGAAAAAAGGAGAAAGAAAGAAAGGATGCATATGTCTGGCACTCCTCAGATGCCTCCCGGTTTCAGAGCCTCTGTGTGACGGAGGGGCCGTGTGGGATATGACTTATCACATTGTATGACACCGTACAATAAACTTAAACCAATTTATGGAGCGTCAATGCGTTTATGGTTAGCCCGCCGCGCCGCGCTGGTCTCTGCAGCCGCTCCAGCCCCCCCCTCCTGTCCTCTCTCCGGTCCGATACATCAAACTGACGGGCACTCTGGTGACATGTCGGTAAAAAAGTGATCGGAATCAAATCAGAGCTTTTAATCTCGCCAATCACCGTCACATCTGGAGGTTTTCCTTCACATAAAGACTCGGCTGGAGGAGCAGAGGATGCTTGTGCGCATCAGTTGGAGACGCGGTGGAGCTGACCGGTTTCTGGAGCATCGCGGGGCCTGCGTCTGCACACGCATCACACTCAGGATCAACAACAACAACAACAACAAAAAAAGAAAGAAAAGAAAAAAGAATGCAGCAGTCATATAAAAAAATCTATAAATTATTATAGAAAAAAACTACTTTTAAATTTAGAAAATATGCAAATGCTATATAAAATTCTTAAACTAAACAAAATAGTCCATTTTGTCTATAACGGCACAATCATATTTTTAAATTTGTATAATACTTTTTTTAGGAACTGCATTTTAAAGATTTTTAAACTTTAATGGACATGTTCAGATTTCAGTATCTCGATCAAAAAAGACCATCTACAAGAAATTGGTATAATACCTATAATTTTTATTAAACTTTGTGGATTTTGACAGCACCGCACCAGGAAAATATATTCAACTGTATATTATACATCTATTCCACCTCCATAACTTTGTGTTTGCCAATTGGGTTGATTTAATAGCCTATTTAACCTGTTTGTCTTAAAAAGTGCTTTGGGGATTATATTAGTTGAGTTAGGCTATATTAATAAATTACAATGAGCTAAAATATAAGATTTCATACAAAATAAATGCCTTCCATGGAGAAAAAAGAAGAATCTGAGCTGGAAAAATGAGTTCCTGCAGAATTTTACGTCCGATGAAGGAAGCATGGGCTTTGTATAGAATCTGAAGGGGAAAAGGCTGCTCGGTGGTTTTAACTCTGGCGTGGACCGCGTGGGCGGTGCAATGGTCTCTCGTGAGATGGGGGAGAGGGAGTTGGAGGGGCAGTCCGTTTCCACGCTCACTCACTGGTGGCATTGTCATGGAAACAAGACCACCGCTTCGCTATTGTCTCGCGCCCTGCCGAGTTTATTATAAGCACCGCGCGAGCCGCAGCGCGCTGTCAAACGGAGCGCAGCGCGCAGAGGAGAGCTTCAGGCACGCACTGACAGAGCGGACTGAATAAAGAGAGAAAGTTCAGAGGAGTCTTCTGGATTATCAAGGGGAAACTCCTCCACACAGAGATATACAAACCGAAAGAGTTTGGAAAGAGGCGCAGATCAGAGATTGCCCAAAGAAACAAGGCGCGGACCGGTGTCTGCACCGGCTCACCTCCATGTATAAGATGGATTACTCCTACCTGAACTCCTACGACTCCTGCATGGCAGCCATGGAAGCGTCGGCCTACGCGGACTTCAGCTCCTGCAGCCAGGCCAGCTCCTTCCAGTATAACCCGATCCGGAGCGGGCCGTTCTCCAACCCGGGCTGCACGCCTCTGAGCACGGCCAGCTGCACGCTGGGAGCCCTGCGAGAGCACCAGCCCACACCCTACTCCTCCGGTAGGAAAAAACAAACAAACGGCTGTTTTCAACTATTTCTACAGTCAGGAGAAACACGTTAGAAAAATTAATCTGTTTTACTTTACCTCTAGTTCTTAATAATGGAAGCAGGAGTCTTTTAGGAACCGAAATCTCCCAAAAATCAAGGGCCTGACATTAAAATTATGTTTTTATTTCTACTTAATCATCGAATTAATTATTTAACGAGCACAATTAGGCTTAACCTTGAAAAATTCGCAACAATAACGAGCAAAAATACTAACAATCATATGTTTTTCCTCGTTAAGGCTTCAGAAATTAAATTAGAAATACAATAGGCCTATAGTATTTTTAATTTCGTGGCTGTATTTATGCACATATTATCATTCAAGATTATATGTGTTCATTTTTCGTTTTATTATAAATTATATTTCGCACTATATCGGATACTTTAAAAAAAAGTACTATACTTTCTCCAAAATGTATTATAAATTACTTACATTTTCTCCTATTTCGATAGATTTGATAAAGTATTTTTTTTTAAATAGAAGAACAAGTAATTAATTACTATTAATTTTAAACATCTGTATTTTCCCCGAAAATTAAGCAAAAATCTTGAAAAATGAAATAAATTGAATTATTTTAATTTAATGGAAATATCAAAACGTCGCGCGTTTTTACGCACCTGCCTTGAAATTACAATCATTTGCATGTTTTGTTTGTTCAATGAAAAACAAAAATAAAAAAAACTAAAACCTTTTTATTTCCCTTCAGTTCCCTACAAGTTCTTCTCGGACCCTTCTGGGCTGAATGAGAAGAGGAAGCAGCGGCGCATCCGGACCACCTTCACCAGCTCCCAGCTGAAGGAGCTGGAGCGGGTCTTTGCGGAGACGCATTACCCGGATATCTACACCCGAGAGGAGCTTGCACTGAAGATAGACCTGACCGAGGCCCGGGTTCAGGTGCGAGGATGAAGCTTTTCTTTTTATTTTCTCCTGCGCAAAGGCGCCTTTCGAAAGTTCGTTGAATTAGTGACCAAATACCAATAATTTATGTGCAATAAACAAATGTTTTTCTGACTGTAGCAACTCTTATCTTAATGTCATATTAATACAAATGTATTATGCAAACAGATGTCTAGATGGGGGGGTGGTCTGGTCTCCATGGGGACTTTTCTGTTTTCCTGCATCCATCCTAAAGCTTCCTGTGTTTGTGCCTACAGGTGTGGTTCCAGAACAGGCGTGCCAAATTCCGTAAGCAGGAGCGGGCAGCTAATGCCAAGGCCAACAGCTCTGGTGGAAACACTGGGAGCAACAGCAGCAGCAACAGCTCTGGAGGAAAGAAGGGTGGAGAAACAAGATCTTCATCAGATGACGATGAGTCCAAAGAGTCCACCTGCAGCCCCACGCCAGACAGCACTGCTTCCTTGCCTGGCTCGGCCAACGGGAACCTGGGGAGCCCAGCCAGCCTGAGCCCCAGCCCGGCCCCCGCCAACAGCGGCTACACCAACACCTCCAGCTCCCCGGTCCTCCAGGGGTTGAAGCCGCCCAGCTGGTCCAGCCTGGGGCCGTCCAACCCGGCTGTGGCCCAGCCTGCTGCTCAGACTCAGGAGATTCTGAAGGCCTGGCAGCCAGCGGACAGTATGACCGGGCCCTTCGCTGGAGTCCTGTCCTCTTTCCACAGAAAACCCAACCCTGCCATCAAGACAAATCTGTTCTGAGGCAGAGAGGAGGAGAAAGACAAGGAGCAATCAGAGACAGATAAGAGCTTCAGACTTTTTTTCTTTTTAGTGGAGATTCTAAACACAACTATGGTGTTCTGGTCAGAGCCCAGATGGTACCAGGTTCTGCTAGTCTAAGCATGTTCTGCAGCTGTACAGCACCTAGATACCTGGATGTGGACAGATTCTTGTGACTCTACTTTCCAGCTGAGTTTCTCCTTTTTAAGACCAAACTGAAGGACTTTCTCTATTTGTTGACTTTGAACTCCACAGTGTCAAACTGTCTCCTAAGCAGCCCGAGTTCTTGCATCGTCTCCCTTTGTTGAATTCTCACATTCCCACACTCTGCAGAATTTCTCTGATGAAGTATGGAGGTCAGGTACGACCTAAAAGCAGAAATCCAAACATCAAGATCCTTGCTGAGGAAACAAAGCGAACCTTTACCCTCAAGCACAACTAGATACACAGACTTTTTTTTTTTTAGATCCCCCCCAAATCTCTTTGCCAAGCAGAGTAGGGGGGCTGCTTTAAAATCCAATTAGACCTGCTGGTTTCAGACCTGACACCTCCTCAGATCAGCTCTCCCCCTCCTCCATATGTAACACATCACATCCTGACCTCTGGGGAACAGTAGCCACTTTTGTTTAAACTCAAAAGGGTGCAGGATTTGGAGTGGAGCCTCCTGAACATCCAGAGCTGAGTGCATCCTGCAGATTTCTGAGTCTGATGTATCTGATAGTTTCTGCTGCTGGTATAGTAAAGCAGCCAGTCGCTGCCTCCATCAGAATCGGTTGCTTTCTATTCCCTCAACCTATTCTCATCGACCTACAGACCTTTTTTATGCATCGACCTTGCATAAAATGTCCAATTTTGTCCTCTGCTGCCTCTACCCTGGTGATGCAAAACCCCTGTTAGATCTTCCTCAGAATCGAAAAAAATAAACATGTATTTATTAATATTTTTCACATGTCTTTGAATGGCTGTAAATTCTGTAGATAGTAATATATTAGATAGTTGTCCCACTTTTTTTTTTTGGCTTTACAGATCTACTTCACTGCGAAGCGTCTGTCTCACAGGAACATGTGGAGCTCTGGTGAATGAGAAGTTATAGCACTACTCTGAATATTCAAATAAATCTACATTATGAAGGCACTACGTGACACATCTCATGACCTGGTCATTGCATTTGACAAAATGTGACGTTTTTGCATGTTTTGCAGACAAGACAAAAAGAGTCACCTTGTAAAATGAGGAGAAATATTAGATTTTAATTGAAATAACAAAAACAAAGGGTGAACAATTTACATTAACTTAATTCAACATACGCACAAGGCTACATAAAAATAACTAAATGGAGTGTAGGGGGCAGAAAATGACACAGGTAAGTCTGTTTCACACAAAGTCAAATATTAACGCATAACTGAGAACACTGAAAGGCCTGAAACGAAAAGACAACTTGAAATGACATTTATATGTTGTGGTTTGGCTGTTTGAAATAAATGGGCAACAAAAAAATTAAAACAAACTGGTCATCTTTTTCTACCGACAAATATCCAGACTCGATTTGTACATCAAAATAAACATATACAGTTTACCTTCTAATAGTTTCACTGTAAGGTGTCAATATAACTGTAGATTTTTTAGTGTGCTCTTATTAAAAAAATTGGAAATAAAAGGAAACCATTGGCCAGCAAGTAAAAATTTTGTTCCTCAAGTTTCCAGGATGAGCCAAAACCGAGGCTTGGTTAGAGAGAAACAGCACCCCCTACTGGTTAAATGAGGAAACACAAGCACAGCAATGTGTTTGAAGGGGGAAACATTTCCACAAGAGTACAAAATATGGTCTAAAAACACAGAATCATCTCCAGTTATGACAAACATAAAATCAGCTTTAAACCATATTACCATACAAACAGCTTTGTTATGGTTTATTAAATCTTTTCTTTTCAGAAAGACAAAAATGCTGCTTTGAGGTGAATATATAGTTTTCAGCTCCAAACCTTTCTATTTGGTTAGCTGAAAATTCCCTTTATAAATACATGCAGAGGCGCCATAAATCAAACAATCTATGGCCCAGACATCCTTACAAAATATACGATCTGACAAAAAAACAAAAGAAATAAAAAAGTGAGTTCTTATTATTTGAAATTCTGCTGACTAGCTTCATCTCTGTCGCTACATCCTGTTCGCTCCAGTCACAGAACCTACTAGACGGCTCTTCTCTAACTTTGATTTCTTTGGACATTTGAAATCTGCCCAGCTTGAATGAATCCTCATCAAGAATCCAGAAACAACAAAATGTACTTGAAATATCTTGCAGTTAAAGGTTAGGTCTAACGTCGCAGCAAAGGTTGCACCGCCCTGTGCACCAACTTTACCTTTAGAACCTTCTAAAAACGATGATCTAACTGCATTTACAGCGAGGGGTTCTGTAGTGATGCTCAAAGGACTGCAATGATTAAATAAGGCCACATCTATGACACAAACAACACTCATACAGTACAAATGAAGGAGGACATTGGGTCAGAAAGTGTTCTTGAAAGTATAAATGAAGTGCAATTTTCTCAGAAGGCACTGTCTGGCATTAGTTAGCAGGTTCCAACTTGGATCGGATCGGTTCTTTTTCAGTTGAGATCTGGCCTCTTAGGATCAGATGTGGCTTTACTCCAGTTTATTTCTGCTGCTGTTGCTGCTTGAGGCTCTCTAGCAGGATCCGCTTATGGGCTGGATCCAGCACCCCGGCCTCCTCCAGGTCCTCCTCTGTGATGTCACTGGAAGAAAATGGGGAATTAGTTTGATAAAACCACTGAAAAAACACTTTGGGTGAATTTTAAATAATGCAATTAAATAATGCAAAATATATTTATTGTGGATTTTTAATCTACAAAAGGTTAAAATAATGCATACAGACCCCAATAGAACAGAATAATAAAATCAACACTGCAACTGTACATTGCAAAAAAAGAAGGATCCTATACATATTCCCAACATCTTCTAGGGTTATGGGTCTTTCTTACAGACCCAGGCTGACCGACTAAAATAAGAACTTGACTTACAGCTTCTCCAGGATACAGTTTCTCTGCTCTCTAATGTTTCAGCCCGTACTCCTTTTACATAAACCACAAATACATTTTATTTTAATCTTCCACTTTGGATGTTTTGCATCTCTGAAATCAATCGGTTGCCAAGCACAGACCCAGCTTGTAGGAGCAATCGCTTAACGAGTAAAGTTGGGGCCGTTCCAGGAGCTGAACGGTCGCCTGTTCTTTACCTTTCTGAAACATCCAGATGTTCCAGCTGTTGGTCTGGCAAGATGAAGTATTTGGAAGCTGTTTTCGATTTGAATGTTTTCTACCATTTTGCACGATATATCAGGACCACTGACAATAGGGCCCTGCAGCATCATGGGGCCAGCACCATGCTTAACAACAGTTGATGCAAACGGACTTTAACACATTTAATCTTATTTGGCTTGTCTATAGCCTCTTTCCCACGGAAAATAACGGGTTTACGAGAATTTTTTAAACATGGGTTGACCCGCTAACAATCAGCATTTGGCTCCCTTCCTAATGGCAAAAAAAGCTGGGTTTGACCCCTCCCTGGAAGGCTGCATAGCCTCCATACCCCCCGCAGCTGCGTGGTCTGTCTCTTCGCCGCTGCGTGTCTGGTGAGATCATCACACTGGGTTAGCTTTGATGATGTCACTAGTGTTACAGAAACCAGGAAAGTAAACAATGGAGAGAAGCATGTAGGGAAGCAAGCGTGTACTAAGTGTTCTTTATTGTTTCGCTCTTTTATCAGTCCGAATCCCTCTTGCCAGTGCTGCGCCATGTTTATCAAATGTAAACAAAGGTGTTTCTGCTTGCTAGATCAGACGCGATTGGCGTGGTGTGTTGATGCCCTTATGTTGCGTTAAATGGTAATTTAGCGGGTCAACCTCTCAGAGCCAAGGCGATTTAATTTATTTATTTTTTAAGTTTTTTTTTTTGAGGGGGAGAGACACAGTCCAGGTCGCGTCGACTACTAAGGCCTCCATACATGGGTTGTGCGCACTAACCAATGCTCCACCTGCAGGCGATTTTAACAAGGGTCAAATACCAAGTCGTTTGACCCGGGTAGACATGCGTCAGTGAGCTGTTCCCACTCCCCCTAAAAGCCAATTTCTACCAGGTTTAAACAGTTGTTTTTTACGGCCAGTGGGGAAGGGATATTTGTGAAATAAATAAGTAAGCTAATTAAAAAATATCAGCAAAAGCTTTCAGTTTGGGGCCAGATTTGTCCGAGCAGTTTCCAGGGTATCATGGGCTCGACTCCCTAAGTAAGTCATGACCAGTTTAAGTCAGAAGGTTAAACTTGACGGATAAAGCTGGACTTGCGTCATCTCTAACATAAGGAAATATTTGTGGACTACTGGAGGCCAACAGAGTAAAATAGCTAAACCATCTCTGATAACCGGAGCATTTAAATATTCAATTATGGCTAGAAAAATAACCAACTAATTTCATTAAATAACTTATCCACTAATTATTATTTTAGTTGTGCAATGTAAACATCAATATAATCTTCATCAGAGAACCTTCATCAGCATCAATATAATCATAATTGAAAATTTGTAAAGATTAAGAAAATAAATAATTACAAAAAAATTGCTGCAGCACATTAGTTAGGAACTTTTCCCTGCAACCTTTTCAGTCTACCGCTCCACTGATCCAAGCTAAGGCGTCTACGTTTGTGATGGTTCCTACCTGAGGAACTCCAGATCATCCCAGCCGTTGTGTAGCAGCCCTTCCTCGTATCTCTCAAGGCCCAGCTTCTGCAGCCACTCCCCCACTGACGACTCTCCCACAGACAGAGACGAGCTGCTGCTGCCCCAGAGTGCCTGAACAAGAGAAATGCAGGATTAACTGAACACATCTCAGTTCATTGCTAATAACTGTTACACCAGTAAGTGTAACAGTCACCTACTTCTCTCTGTCATTTTGTCCAAAAATTGGCCATGCTAGTTTTTTCTTTTACTTTTTAAATACTTTCTCACATAGCTCAGTCCTCCTGGACTGAACCATTTAGGGGTAAAGCTGTGTTTAAGGTAACCTCCTCACCTCCTCTGGCATGTCCTCTGCGATGCTCTCTGGGATGGGGTTCCTGGGTGGGAAGGTGCGGCATGCATCCAGCATCCCGATAGGCGGGACTCGGACGGGCGGTGGCGCCGAGGGAGCGCGGGGAGGGTGCCCAGGAAACTCGCTTTCACTCAGAGTCTTTGCCATCTGCAGCACAGAGCAAGACTGATCGTCCAGCGCCCCTGCCCCCCCTCGCCTTAAACCCTCCCCGAGAGCAAGAGGCCCACCAGGTCCGGCTGGTGGGATCCTGACCTCGGCCAGGTCCGGGTAAAGAGAACGAGCCTTGCTGAATTGAGACTCGGCGACGGTTTCCAGGGCTCCCTTGGGCAGAGGAGGAGGGGGGAAGTCAGGAGGCGGGCGATTCAGCGTGTTGCCGACTGTTCCTGCGACGCCTCCTCCTTGAGCCAGAGCGGCCCCCCCGTCATCCTCCGAGGAGCTCTCCTCGCTGACTCCGCGGGCTGGGTGTCCCGCAACAGTTCTGCGGGAGTGAGCGGGCATGGCGGTTCCTAAAGGAGGTTTGGTACGAGCCACAGCTGATGGGGGTGGGGCTTTAACAGCCGGGGTGGTTGGAGAGGTGGGAGATGGGAGCAGCTCAGGTGGAAGGCCAGCAGCTGAGGGGTGGGGAACGCCCTCCAGGATGTAGTAGGCAGGATTGTTGAAGCTGTTTTTGCCGACGGATGAATCACCATCCGGGGTGTCCTGTTTGGGTCTTAACAACACAGAAAAACATCCTTTACTTGAATCCATTTAGTTTATCCACTTAATTCAGATCCAGACCGTCGCTGGTGAGTTTGTACCTCGCAGCCGTTTCCTCCTTAGAGTTTTTCTCTCCCTCCTCGCTGACCTTTCCCAGCTCTCCAAGCTGTTTACGAACCACAGACTGTCTGCAAATCAAACAAAACGGGTTAGCATGCCGCCACAAAGAGACAACATATACAGTAGCAGCCATTCAAAATGGACCTTCCCAGTCAAACGCCAGCCAAATAGCAGCAGACTCCCTGCAACTCCCAGCAAATTCCCCTCAAAATTCCAGCCACTGGAGCGACCCCCTCCTTCTCCTGGGCATGCATAATGCTCCACCCTTACACTAAATGACAGGGAGATGGTGCTTCTATTTTGTTTTTTAATGTCCACAAATCATGACAGAAAAAATATTTTAGTACAAATACTGATGTTTAAAAAGGAACTGTAGGAGACCAGCCACAGACCCATATAGGGAAAGTGGGGCAACTTTTAATGGCTACTACTGTTAGTGATCAAAGTGTCCGGATATAAAAAGAAACACTTATTCAAGTTTTAAACCTCAAATTCTATTAAAAGAAATTCTTATTTCTTCTATTAGAAGAAAAACAACCAAAAAGTTTCAGCTTTCCTGAGCTACTAAAGATATCACACCTTAGATTAATATTCAAAAGCTGTGATTAATTAGTAATCTGTTCATCAGCACAAAACCTGCTGTCATGTTAGCAGGCATGCTGAGGTGTGATAGGACATGTTTTACGGTCACACAGCTCTCCATGTGTAAAACTCATCATTTAACTGGATTCTTTTTTATTATTATTCTCCAACTGCTAAAATTTGAGCTTTAGCCTCACAGCATAAACGCCAAGGTCATTTTCACAAAGAAATATTTAAAAAAAAAATGATTTAAAAGCATGAAGACTTTTTTTTCTGGTATAATAACAGTAAGGTCCACCAGCTGTGTGAACAAGTTCTCAACACAAAAATACAACAGCATGATAGATAAAAGTGAATCAGGCAGCTTTATCATTCAAACGTCACACATCTCTGATGTTTCTGCTATTTTCAAATATCCATTAGTGTAAAAATGTCCATAGCTGTATATTGGTTATTTATTCTCCAGGTGCAGAGTTTTATATGGTTAAAACACTCTACAGTACAGTACTTTCCTATTTATCTTTTAACTCTTCAATATTATGTTTTCCTTATACATTTTTCTTAAGTCCATATTCATGTGACCATTTTTTCCATAATCTTTTTGCTGCTGTAAACACCACAACTTTCCCACTGTGGGACAATAAAGGGATTTTCTATTCTATTCTCTTCTAAACAAACTAAAGTGCTGTTGAGTGTTTTCACAGAGTAAACAAAGTGATGCAGTAAAAGTTGAACACAAAATCTAAAAATATAGCGAACAAAGACATACAAGTAACACTTTTGCTCCTTTTCCAGCACAAAACAACCATGCTATACCTTTTCTTTTCACACTTTCACTAAAATGAATATAATCACTTGAAAGTTTGCTTCAAACTAGTAAAAATGTTTTAAAATAAGCTACTTTTTGACAATGTGTTGAATTTTAAGAGATTTCTTTGGACTAAATCCAATATGTATCCTATATTGTGCAATATATATTTATGACAAACAAAAACACTGGATAAAAAAAAATCTATAAATCTAATTTTACAGCAGTTCGTTATAATATATATATATATATTTTTAGACAACTTTTACTTCTACTCATTACATTTTTTTTGCAAATATCTCCACTTTCTACTCTACATTTTAAACAGATTTGTTAGTTTTGTTTGAGCTCATTTTCGTTATGGCCAGTTGGTATTTAAAAAAAGAAAAAACATAAAAATTATTTGTTTCATCCAGACAATCAATTTCTTTTTGGTTGGGCTCAGTGTTGCACCAACTTGCTGTTCCTCACATACCAAAATAGATTTGTTTCTCAAGATGATGCAAAGTAAAAATTTACAACGATGCCATTAGTTATAAAACTAAGAAAATTACGAAAAAGAAAGTTATCATCCAGAGTTGTAGAAAATTTCTTTCCTTTAAAGGGCTGATAGAATGATTCTATAGGGTATTTGGTGCTGGTCCTTAAGGTCTCTGAATACGGTGTGTAACATTTGGTTGGGCTGAAAATGGCATATTTGCTGTTCTATGAGCCCTAATGCAAGCCTGGTTAAAAGCCCTAGAATGAAATCACACGTTTTCTTTCTTTTATGGTATTCTCATGAATATTTAGATGAGCTGTGCGCTGATTGGTTGGTTTACAACGAGTTAAGCTGCTGAGCAAAGACGCATCACAGCAACAAGCACTCACTCACTGAAACATTGAAATGGTTTGATATGGTAGGGTGACCAGACACCCTCTTTTTCCCTGACATGTCCTACTTTTCATTCCTAAAAAAATGTCCGGGGGGAATTTCAAAATCGTCCGGGATTTTGGTCGAATACAGAGCAACAGAACCAAGCCATTAGCTCCGGGGCTGGGGACGGAGCGACCAAACCTGGCCCGGTGATGGTATGCTTCCTCCCACCTGCCTTACCGTGCTTCCTGGCAGGCTCCTTAACCCCCGGGGAGAGTTCCCCCCTAAGGCAGGCGGGGGGGAAGCATACCATCACCAGTTCGGGTTCGGTCGCTCAGTCCCGGGTTCCCGGACCAGCCCCGGAGGTCACGACTCGGTTCCAATGCCCGGTCCAGTCCATCAGCAGCCCAGCAAAGGGTAGTAATTCTAAGTAAGTAATTTTAGAAATGGTACTTTTACACTTTTACTTGAGGACAAAGATTAAGTTGATATTCTAACTTCTAAAAAAGTGTTTTTAAACTGTAGAATTCATATTTCTACTTGTGTTATATATTCAATATTTTTGTCATCACTGGTTTTTAGTTAGCTTCTGCTGATGCCAGGCAGACTGATATCTCAGCATGAGTCTTGTCTGTTGGGTGATCTAACAGAGTCCTTTCCAGAACAGATCCTCTCAGAAAGAGTCTAAGGATTATTCTAAGCCAGAAAATAAATTTGATGGTATGAAGTAGAACTAATTTAGAAAAGTAGACTTGTACTGACTTCACATACTCGTGTCCAACTCTGGACACAATGGTGGATTTCCCTTTGGGTCCGCTTGTCTCATCTTGGTCCACACTGATCCACTCTGAAACACAACAGCGGATCCATTAAACCAGAGAGGCCTTCAAAAATTAACTCAATAAGTCAAACAAAATAACCACTGGTCTAACGCTGTGACAGTACCATAGAGTCGCTCCCTGGTGCCCATCCGTTCAGCTGGGACCCTGACCCTCATGGATCCCCGGATGTTTCCAGTTTCTTCTCCTCGGTGGGACAGGTAGGTGTGGAACTGCTGGGCTGTGCAGCCAATCATCGATTTGAGGGCCAACACGCACTCTCCTAACAACCCAAAACACACACTTTATGATCATTCCGCCTCCTTTAAACCACCTCCCTCTCCTCCTTGCTAACAGTGCAACACTCTGCTCCTACCATAGGACTCGTATCCATCCACTGACTTGACGGTCAGCAGCAGATGTTGGTCCTGCAGGTATTCGATCTCTGACAGGAGAGGTTTGAGGGTGGTGAGCTGCTTGTTGGACCACCCCACGCGCAGGAAGTTCACGTTGTCGCTGCTCTGGCTGTCGTTCTCGTAGCTTTTCTTGAACTCTGAAAATAAAAAATGCAGGAGGAGAAGCGTGGAGGAGAACGGGGGTTGAGGATGAGGGAACAAGGCGGGAGGGAGACGTTTCATTTACATGTACACGGTGAGCATGCAGCACAGGTCAATAAATGGAAACGGCTGAGAGGAATACTGACTGTCTGAATTTAGGAAGGAAGGAAGGAAAGGAGGGGACAACAAAGACGCAAAAAAGAGAAAGTTTTAATACATAAAGTGTTCTTTTTGAATGAAAGGAGGATCTTAGCTGTGGTTGAGAGAAGGAATTCTGCCTCCATGAATCCTGAGGGGATGCAGGAACCTTTGACTCACCTTCTAGACAAGTAGAGTAGAACTCTATGAAGAACTTGGTGCGGCTCGCCGTCTTTACGATGGCTTCAATGCTCTCAAACTCGATGTAGGCCTGCTCTGAAGACTTTGGTAGACCTACAGAGGAAAAAAGATGGAGGAGCAGATGAGGCAAGAGTAAATGAAGAAAAGCAGACATCAAACTAGCAGCTAGCAATGCATAGTACCTTCCAAACACACTTTTAAGACATTTCATCTCATTACATTAATCACAGCCTTCCTAATGGGATTATACTAACATCCAGAGAATTTCAACTCTTTAATCTATCACATGGAAATGGAAATACCCTCCAAGCTTTACAGGTGGTGCACTTGAGTCAGCCCCAACCTAACCCTGGAATGACCTAGTCAAAGTCCAGAGGTGTAAATACCTTTGCAAGGTACCATAAAACTTCCCTCTGGAACAGAGAGCCATAATTATTGTTTTTTTTTTGCAGACGGATACCTTTCTTTGAAACAAACTGAGATGTCACTCCGACCTCAAAAGTTGCAAACACAGGGGAATGATCGCTGGTCACAATATCATCTGTACAGCCTGCAAACACAGCAGTTAGCCTTCAGTATGCAATCAGTAAACAGAACCGAATCCATCTTGTTTCCTTTGTCTCACCGTAGGAATTACACACAATGTGTGTTTCTGGGTATGATTTCCAGAGGATCCGGTCGCACCACGACGGCACGTTGGTCCTCATCTAGAGATAAGCACAGAGGAGAATCATACTTCAGTCTTGCTTTAAGAGGAGAAGCAGATTAGTTCTGGTGATGCCTGAATCAGGAACTCACCCCTGTGGCTTTCTGTTTCTGCCACACGTACGTGTCCCTTGAGCCTCGCTCGTAACGGTAGGTGGGGGGGAATGAAATCTCCTCCTCGGCTAAAAACAAGGAAAACACTAAATTAAAATAAATACTTTTCTTTTCCTTTTAACATTTTACAACTGATTTCTAACTAATGTTTCATATTTGATGTCTGAACAGAAACCTGAGGATGTTTATTCTGATGGCTTTGACATCTAATGTAGATATAATGATTCTATCAAATGGTACGGACCAAAGGGAGCATAAAAATAAGAAAATTCAAGTTATAAATCAATTTGAAAATTCACAGCTCTAACTTGCTTTATTAAACAAAACTGTTCTGTTTTAAGGCTTTTATCTGAAAATAAGAAATAAAGATTACAAACTTTTTAGCTTTCAGCCAAAATCTAAACGTAGCAAATGGTTGTTTGCTTGTCCACGTTTTCATACTACATTTCATCCTTCCACTAAACTTTTAAATTCCTGCATACAGCACTGTGTGAAGGGAAGAATTGTATTGACTGTTTGACAACCAGAGTCAAAAGTCTTATGTAAAATGGTTATTACATAACATTTGATGTGTCTAAAGTAAAATTCACATTTTCTAGATCTTCATTAGCCGTTAGCCAGTCATTAAAATAAATAGAAATAAATTACTAACCTGCCTGTCTTTACAAACATATTAACTTCATTCCATCCCATTTTTAATACAAAGGGTTTAATACACCAAGCAGCAAATGTTACCCCATATTGCGGCACCTTTCACCTAAAGCTAAAACCTGCACATGATCTGGATCATTACTAAATTTAAATGAACTGTTCCTAAGCATGAAGCACACCTTCGGTTAAACATGTCCTTAAAATCCTTTTATAAGTTTTCAATTGATCCCGTAAACAAACCAACAACATTCCCTTTTCTTGCCTTTTGTCTAGAAAAATACCTCCAGACTTTTTGTGTCTAACGCTGCAGCTGTCAATGGTCACTGCTGCCCCCCTCTGGTTTAGTGGGGAACTGCTTGTTTTACCAAATATCCCTATCTCACAATGTTAGAGAAAATTCCTGCATCCAGATTATAATCTGTATAGTCACCAAAATTTGAAGGATTGTTCCTTGGACTTAGGGACACGTCTGAAACAAATCTCATTAAAATCTATCTATAACATTTTTAGTTATTTTGAAACCAGAGGCAGACAAGCCAACAAAGATGAAAACATAACCTCCTTGGCAGAAGTAATAATCTCCATCCACTGAGCAAAACTCTATTCATGAAACAGAGAGCAGTCTGATAACTGCCACACTCAGACTGGTCCTTTCAATGGTCAGACAGGAATCACGTCTCCATACCTCTACATCCCAGTGACTCTGCACAATCTGAAGCTGCAAAGAAGCTTCCAGGTTCTTATTCTGAGAGGTTTTCCCACCTCTGGATCAGAGCAGGGTCAGCAGGAGCTGCATGCTGCTACTAGCCTATCCTTTCTTGGCTGAGTTTATCTCATCCCCAGTAGCTTCCACTCGGTGGCAACACGACTGAGCTGACAGCGACCCAATCTTATACAGATGTTTGTAGAGGCAGTCTGTATGCCAGAGTTCAATGACTACGATGTGTACATATTGGGAGAAACTGATAACTTTAAACTTACATTCTAATTTACTTAGAGATGCTTTTGTTGTTTTCTATGAGCCTTTTGTAAAAAAAAAACAACAAAAAATCCAGAGATCCACCATTCTTAATAAACAAGTATGTTTGTTCTGGTGAATTTTAGCTCCAATCGGAGCAGTGACAATAACATTGTGCACTACTGCAAGGAGGATACATTTGGGGTATATATTTTGCTGCCCCCTAATGGTGTTTCTAAGCATCAAGACAGAAAAATAAAGCACACTGTAAAAGAATAACCTCTTTGTTGCTTTGCAAAATCAATTGAATATTAAAAAATCTTTTAACACAAAACAAACAAACTAGAGATAAAAAATGTCTGGGTGGAGGATACTTTCAGACACAGCTAAGCTTCAGTCTTTCTGCATCTAAAACCAGTCCTTTTCCCCCCCTGGTTTCTCTCTTACTTGCTCCAACCATTTTATTGTTTTTTTTGTGTGTTTTTTTTACAAATCCTAGCTATCGAAAGAGTTTGGTGAACAAAACAAAAAGATCTGATAAATGATACTAACCAAAGCGCAAAAACACTTTATTCTTCTCCCTCTCCAGGTTGAGCTGGTCCACTTTCAGCAGAGGCTCAAATTCCTTCCTGTTAATGTAGTTTAAAATCTCCTGCAGAAACATGCAAACTGTGGATCAGAAAGGATGTTTCATGCAGCTCATCATGAGGACTTGGTTCTAAATCACCTGAATGTCCATATCCAGCCTGTAGTTGAGGTCTCCGAGCCAAAACAGGTGTGTGAAGCGTAGAGAAATGTCAAAGGAGCTCAACTGTTTGTCTCCTAAAGACAGCAGCCGTAGGATATCAAGGTAGTTCTGGTTTCTCCTAGAAAGAATCAAACATTTAGTGGGTTACAGATGAGAAAAGACAGCTAATCAAATAATAAAGTTAACATAAGAAGCTAATTAAACGCCTTTAACTCAATGCTAATATTTAATTTTTGAGTAATTGATTTTAAACACAAATATTTAGAAACACCATTTCCTCAAAAAAAAGAAATTCTCCTAAACTACCCTTAAACTCAGCAGTAAACTCTTTTCTTCAGATGTCTGCAAACAGGTAAACTGTTCCCCTTTTGGCCATTAGGTGGCAGCAATGCTACAGACTATCAAAGGATAGAGGCTGGCTGAGGTGAAGTGTGGATTCCCATTTCTAAAATCAGGTCATCATTTCCTGGAAAAGATGAATAGCAGCAGCAAATGTGCTTAAAATATCTGAATTAGAGAAAACAGATTTTCCAAACACTGAGAAACACTGAAAGATTATTCAAGTACAGAAAAACATTGCAGTGATATATTAAACCAAAAAAGATTTGGACAACACAGTCAACCATCATCCCGTTGATATTCGTTTGAGAAAACTTTTTTCTTTCTTTGTCTAAAATAAAATGTTTTACATTAATTTGAAAATATAAATCATGTTTTATTTAAATATATTTCTGGATGTTCAGGAATCTGGTCAAGATCAGGGAACCTCCACTGCCTCGTCCATTTTAAAGGAGAGCCTGTGGAAGACACAACTCACTCACAACTGACTGACTGGGCAAAGGAATGTCAGGGTTTCCTTTCACACTTGTTAAGTGTGAACTTGTAAGATAATAAGAATATAAAAAAAACCTAACAATCAGAAACCTGATTGAAATCCTGGCCTCCAGCCTCCTGAAACACAGCATGAAAGTAAGGAGAAGAAATCTGGTACCTTGCAATCTTCTCATTCCCTGATGTCAAATGACAGTTAACGAATCCAAACGATGTCCCGTTGAACATGAAGGACACACCCACTGCTCCTTTGTTACCTGGAAGATATTAATTTATACCATTAATATAAATGTGGACGTTTTTTATTTACAAAAAGATGACATCAAAATCAATCTTTGAATGAAAAGTTTAAGTAGTCAATGGGTTGAGTTGTTGTTACCCAGAGTGTTGGCGATTCCCGTCTTGACACTAGACATCCCCACATGGCTGATCCTGTTTTCATGTTCAGGTTTCACCAACACAGCAAGTTTGATGTTCCACAGCGTCTGAACAGCGATCTGCAGAAACGACAACAATGAGGAACCTGTGGGGATCATTTCTGCATTTAGACTCCAAAAAAATAAAAAATAAAAAAGATCCCAGTCCAACTTCAGCTTTTCTTAAATCTGTCCAAGACATATTCCTTTTTTTGTTTGACCCACTTCATGATTTAAACAGATCTGTGAGGTGAAGATCGGGATTTTTTCCTCACCGGTTTATAATCCAGCTCTGTTTGCTCCTTCAGCACGGCTCGCAGTGACTCCACCCACTCCCGGTCGCACACAGAGTTCTCCTGCGATCCGAACACATACAGGTCGTGAGGGATGGTGACAGTCATCTCGTCCAGAGTTTTCCCCAAGCCGCGGCACAAGACCCAGGAAGCCACAGACTTGGGCGAAGGTACTGAGCCTGAAAACAAGCAGAAAGACTCCCAGTTGCAATAAACACTTGTCACGCTTTGGAAACATGCATTAGTGACCGTCACAGGAGGCTGTCATGTTCCTCACCCATATTCCAGGTGCCTATAAAGATGGAAATCATGTCAGGCTCATCCTGGTTGGAATGTTTGTTCTTCATCAGCTGCAGCAGCTGGCAAAAGGCCTCCCGCTTCTAAAGTAATCAGAGACAGGAAGCTCATCCACAGTGACTCTAAGCAAAGATTGATCTAATTTCTATTGATTAAATAAATTAAACAGCAATAGTGATAATAAATTCTAGTTTTTACAGCCATAATCGCCACTGAAACTGAAATACAACGGGAAAGAGATGGGAATAACGCAACAAACAATTTAAAAATATATAAATCTGGATTACAATAATCTTTTATAGCAAATTTTATTTAAAACCCATCGTAATCCTTGTATTCAGTGCTTTCAGAGTGTAATAAACCCCTCTAACAGGTGCCCCAATGAAGACATGGCATTCACCTCTACTGTCGGAGGTCATAATGTTATGCCTGACCGATTTTTAAGTGTACAAACCTTGGCGCTGGCAAAAATGAAGTCTTTCCTCTGACTCTTGTCTTTCTCCTTCTCGAACACAATGCCCAGTTTGTTCTGAACCCTCTGGGACTTGATCAGCTGACGGACTGGTGGGAGACAGACAGGAGAGATGGTTAGGGATGGGATGGGCAAAACCTTTATTACAGAGAGCAAAACATTGCATAGAAATGGAAATCTAGAATGTTTATTCATTGTTCTTGGGATAAACATTGGGATATTTTTCTACACATTAAAATGAGACTGCTGAACTGAAATCATGTCACAGTCTCTGCATCACACCGATTAACATCAATCCAAAATTCTGCATATTTGCACCATATACATTTAATGCACTAAACTTCCATATCGATGCGTTTTCTTTTTGCAGCATGTTTTTTCTCCCACACTGTTTACATTTGATCACTGCTGCACTTTATGGAATAGAAATGTTAATTTACTGCCTGAAAAGCTCTAATAAAAGAAATTTAATTTTGTATACACTCCATCTAAACAAAATGACAATAAAAGTTGTCTAAGTCTTTATATTTTTGGTTAATTTTACTGACATCAAGCAGAAAAAAAAAATTTACTTTGGGAGTTTCCTTCTGTTACTAACAGGAAACATTGCTGCACAGCAACAGATAAAAAGCTGTGCTTGCTGCTAAAGCACAGCCAGCTGTCACCGATTCAGCTACTGGAGCATAAATGAAAGCAACACTCACGCTGATAAACACCTGCTGTTTAAAACGTCCGGGTTATTTGTCTGTCCAGACTGTTTGTAATTCTTACTTTTGTCGTGTGTAAAGGTGTTCCAGTCCTCCTGGTTGTCCTTCACCTTCTTCATCACAACCAGCCTCCCTCCCTCCACGTCCACAGACAAAGTGTATTTCTGGCTCTTTCCGATCTTTGTCAGCTCTGCCAGGTAAACGTCGAGCTTCACCTGAGACATTTGACAAAGAAATATAGTGTAAAGAAAACTCTAACAACTTTAAACTTTAAAAAGCTCTTAAGCATACGTCAGTGCTTTTTCTTTTTTTTACTTAGAGCAATAAATTGAAAAACCCTGCTGCAGATCCTGCACGAACTTAGGCTCACATTAGTCTTATTTTACCAACGTGTTTCTTCAGATTAAACTTACTGTTTTCCACTTGCTTGGTCAGAGTATCAACGTAAATCTAAAGAGAATCTGTGAGGGGGGGTAGAGATTACGGTGATGGAAAGTAGACGTTACAAACCGGAAAAGTTGGAGCTCATCACCAGGTAATTTTTTTTTTTAACCAGGTAATTTTTCTAAAAGAGTATTCCTTTATGATATTAATATTCTTTCAAGATGACCTGTCTCTGATCTGCTAAAAAATAAAATCATCATTTGCCTGTAGGGTTGCACCGATTAAACAACCCTGATTTCCTGATTGTTTGGTTACTGACCAATAGATTTCAAACTGATCTTACCTCTATAAAGTTCTGAATATCATTCGCTGTTGATGCTCTAAATCATGGATGTCAAACTAATTTTTATGTTTGGCCACTCTGGCCTCTTTAGCTGTATAAATGTAACTTTTGATTTGATATTTCCAAAGAGCACACTGCTGTGGTATTATCACTTTACTCCAGCTTATTTAGCAGCTTTAGCCATATTTACATGTAGAAATATCATATGCATCTATTTTATGACACATGTTTTTTTGGCTCTTGAGGGCCGGATACATTGCTGTGTTTGGGTTGGATTTAGGCTGTGGGCCTTAATTTAGACCCATCTGCTCCAGCATTTCATAAATAAAAGGAATGTCTGGTGCAGCTAAAACAATTTTGCTATTGCTTCATGTTTTTCAACAAAATAATCAACCAAGATTGGAATCAGTAGGTCAGACTTTTTAAAGATCTGTGATCGGCCAGAAAACTGCCATCAGTGCAACACTTGTTGGATAAAATAATTACAACACATCTAAACCTATCAGGGATTTTTTTTTAAAGAATAGAAGAACCACCTGATTCTGAGATGTAACGGAATCATTACAG